CTTTCTGTCCTTGCATTGTACTGGCCCGCTGATGAGTTGCCGAAAACACATGCTTGCCAGTATGCCTTTTAATACCATTAGTATATAACAACATCATTTAAATCCTTTGCGCAATAAGACAACAAAATTTTTTACCAGTTTTATTAGCTTTGAAGTTTTCTATTGGCACGCATGATATGGCTAGGATGAAATGTTTCGAGGTTAAAAGAACATTCAGTATGATAATTAAATTAGCTCACAGGCGCCTCATTGGCTGTGAAGCCACCTTACGAAAAGGAGAATTGTAAATAGGTCTTAGCACCCGTCAGCGGAGTTCTCGATTCGATTGTTCATTACAACACATGACATGACGGACGTCTGTGCGTCTAGAAATTCGTTCATCAGTTGTTATACCTGTTTACTGGACTGATTTTAATAGTAAATATTAAGCGTTGCTACACCTTTATTCAAATCAATCCAAGCTGTTTTACTGATAATAGTGATAGCAAGACATGCTAAACCTCCATACCCAGCAGAGGGCTGCACCCAGGCACTCATCTTCTACATTGATTTGACAGTTCCCCAATGTGCATATAATCATCGTATAATAAAATATTCTTTTTCACACTAAATAAATTAACGATGTTTACAAAAAAGTTATTACCTCGTTCGCTGGGGCGCCAATAATCTCTTTACGCCGTTTCGTATTTATAAGATTGGAGCACCTTTCTGTATCCACTGAAGGCAGTGCCAGGTTGACGTACTTTGTCAGCAAAAAACGTTGACGTAAAGATTTGCAGTTTTGAAGGGCTTTTTAAGCAAGCATAAACAGAGAAAGAGGGAAACTGCTGCCTGTTCTCCTAACCACGATGTACTCGATACGGTAGCGATGGGAACGGTCTTCGTAAAGGACCCACGGTGCTACAAGCTGATTCTCGTGCCTGTAGGTCAAAATAATCCATTATTTTGAAATGGACGACGAGACCCTATAATATATCCCCATGGTTAACCTTGCACGACGCCAAACTGGCCTTATCAAACTTAGCCCGATGCAATTAGGCCATATTGAAATGGTGTGTACGAGTGCATGTATTGGAAAACGTACCTTCTACAGTTACTTGCATTAGCATCATGAGTGTATGAAACATGACATAACTCGCCTTTCGCAAGCAGAACTTCATAAAAAAACTATAGTTTTGGAGCTATTTCCTGGGGGTAAAATCTAGTTATTGCTTGCTTGACGCATAATTTTACAAGACAGAATGTCAGCACAAAATGCTATATTTACTGGTTCACTGTCAAAAGTGAAACCAAAACATCAACAAGTGTTGCATCTTGTCTGGTTAACTAATTAAATATTCTGATAATATGCACATGGTAATATTTTAGCCAAAAATGTTATTAGACATTATGAATGACGAATCGATTTTCTTCATGTTCTTGTATGTTACCCGAAAATGCAGAATAATCAACCGCCACATTTGTGAAAACTGAAATCGATGTACAAGACGGCTACTCGTAAAAGTTAAATTTTAGAAATATTCTAAATTATCGAAAAATAAAGTGATTTTTTTTAACTTACGGTATGGAACCTTTGCGCAATAGTTTAACGGAAGTGTTTTTGGTATCAGAAATATTTTGAACATTTTTCTATGCCAACACATAACTGATAGGTAACGTGATAAAAACAGAATATATTGTCAAGGCAATCCCACACGTGACCACTCACTAGTGCGAATAATTGGGTGCATTTTAGTGGGCGGTTGAACTTTTTGTGCAGCATTGAATACACATTCTTGAAATTCCTACTTGCGTTCAAAATAAATCCAGACTATTTCACTGATATCATTGCCACCAAATGTTTTTACCAACTCTCGAAAGTGTGGACATATGTTCGGATTATCTTCTTTCACACGGTTCCTAACGTTATCTCAGACACAATTGCCGCATTTGCCTTGCCATATTGCCTTTTTGGGTCAAATAATATTTAGGTTTTCTAAGAAGTGTGTGCACCGTTTGCTGGATATGTCGACGGCATGGTCGCTACAAGTTTAGTTTTTATGAGAACATCAGTTTTTAACCGATAGAGTTCTTGCACGCTTAGTGAAACCAGTCAGTTTCCAAAATTACCTACAGTTATATGATTTTTACAGTAAAGACGTACTACCTCTGCGGAGATAGCGCTCTTAGTTACAGCAGGTCGTTGATTGCATAAAACATTCTGTTGAGAAAGAACGACAAGCCACTGCGGTATAACCACGTACCAAGTCTTGCAGGACGTCCAGCAAGGATTTTGCCTACTCCACTCGAAAACATCGTGGCGTCCTAACCTCGTGGGACAAATACGGGTAACCATATTCTAATGGAGGAAGGGGAGAAACGCACGCAATTTTTATTTCGCGAACCCATGTCTTACAAAGTTTTCCAAAGTCGGAGTCCTTTTGTTCGTACACACTAGGAAGTAATCTAAAGAGTTTAACGTTTTGAATTTTGGCACGTTGTGTATTTTCGATTTTGTTGTTTCCTTTGGCAGTGAAAATTTGATTGCAATTTTCCTTCATTTATTTACGTTAAAGTGAGTTTTTCTTCTAAAATGTATTTCCTTTATAGTATTATGTCAGTCTATCTAATCAGGGAAAAGGGCGCACTTTACTATAAGTCACTTAGAATGCCACGTAGTGATTTCCTTGTTAGATTTCGTGATGAGACCTAATGTGTAATACTAAATATGCTGGTTCTATGTGAAGCATATATTTACGTCAGCTTTGTTTGACCGCGAAGCTTTAATTTTACTGATGCCTTTAATTGTAACTTTAATTGCAATGTTTTTTTTATTTCAAATTTGGAACTTTTATGAATAGTTTGCGTTACGTCATTTTGGAAACCCAAAAGCAGGCGAGCTAGAGTAGCGTTGCTGGCCTTGTTACTAACGTTACTTGCAATGTTATTGTTAAAGCTCGCACACAAGAGCGGGATACCTCTATGCTTATTTAGAATAGACATAGAAAACGAATTGCAGTGCATGCTCACATTTCCACCCTTTAAATCAATATTTCAGGTAAGAGGCTAATGTGACGGACAGTCCTGTGCTCTTAATTGAACAATCTCGTTTTTTTTAAAAAAAACCTTCTTTTGCACTCAGAGACCCAACCGTTTCGCCAGTTATCTGCGTCGTCTCACGACATCTTTTCCATATTTTTCTGATTTATTTGCGTATGCGATAGCGATCAAGCCCGGGCACAAGACATGGATCTTTCACCCAACGGCGTGGCAAGATATCTCAACTGACAATAAAATTGCCAAAAAAATTCACAATTTTATAATTTATATTTATTGATCCTCCATAAAAATGTAGTTCTACGAAATAATACCACGTACAGGCAAAACGGCACTAGTGCCGTTAAAATGCTTCGGGCAAGGTTTTGAATCCGCTTGTTATTAAGATATTTTGCCTTTCTCTAGCAAAATCTAGCTGAGGCCGTATTATTTCCTAACCTCCTGTATAACGGCTTTTTATGATTAATCGAGAATAAAAAAACCCAGTTACTAAGCCGCAAGCATATGACATATTGCAAGTTTGCTCACTTAGTCGTTAAGAAGTAAATGCACCTAAAACCCCTAGAAAAATTATATCGAGGCTGAGGTCAAAAGTTGGAATTGATGTTGCGTCTATGTTCTGTATTTATCCTTCTTTGTTATTGTTTTAGACGCGGATATGCACCGCCGCCGATCTTAGTTTGGGCTGACGCTTCCAACTTTAATACGATCCTCGTGCATCCAAGAATGATAGCAGATCACGCACCCTTCCCCTTGTGTACCGCCCTCGATCATTTAGATGCCACACTTCAGTCGCCAGAAAAAGTCTTTCCAAAATTCCCTCTGATGAGCTACGCTCGGACGGTGAAACCCCTGAGTGGCATCAGCCGTCATCCCGAGGAACAGGACGAGAAGTACTGTAGGGTACGAAAGCTAAAGAAAAGCACATAAGTTTCCTTAACTCATTCGGTTGTCTTCCAACATTTCTTTACTTAATTACTCCCAGCGGATCCTTTCACTTTTTCTCGGAAGCTCTGTTTTCTATTTTCTGACGTTTATGCCCCATATGGCTGTGTTAGAGGAAATCTGTAATTTTTGACATATTTTTGCAAAGATTGTCTACCTACGATTTGCTTTTTTAGTTTTCCTGGAAGCACAAACGCTAAGATATTTATTGAGTAAACAATATGTTTTTTGTTGGATTAGAATATATCACGTTTTAATAAAATTGTTGGAACCTGTCGCTGACGAATACCAATGTTTTCTCTTCTTCGTTGGGCTACTGTCCTTATATAATCGGCCGAGCCTTTGCATCAGCAGGGGTGGAAATAAATGAAGTAGATTTATGCTAGATTTATGCTAGACAGCGATTCTACGTAGGTATCGTTTGGCTATACTCTGGACCATAGTAGATGTAGAGCTCGTGTAATAATATGCTGCCCAGATAAAGATCCATGTCCTAGACGGGTGGTCGTCGATCCTGATGCCTTGAGACTGTGTTGTCTTCAGTAACTTAACTGAAAGCTATTTCACACAAGGTGACTCCAAGGGCCCGCTTGTCGTGCAAGTGATAGCCTATGCTGACTGTATGTGATAGGGCAAAATCGGAGGTCATCCTTATTTCAACTGACAACTAAATTTGGTGGAATCCTAGTTTGGGTCCCGGACCAGCACGCGAAAGCCCCATTCGCCTGTAATAAAAAACCGGGTGAAATAGTATACAATCTGGTTGATGCAAAGGAAATGAAATATAAATAAAAAAATAAATAAAGTTTTAAACAAGTAAAAAAAGCAGGAATAATTATTTACTTGGCATAATTGTTGTCAACAAAAAGCGCGCGATAATTTAAATGTGCGACTATGCAAATATTGGGAAATAGCCAAATTAAAAAAACAT